TTTTTATACTTTTTTTCTGGATGGTTAAGACCAAGGTAAAGCATGACCTATGCAACAAGAGTTGTAGCTTTTGGGTCTGAGAAGGTCTGTGAAATCCCCTCAGGATTTATCCTGAGATCCTGTACCTCAGACTGTAGAACCTTTGTCAGTGTCAGCCATGTGGATGAGTCACGGCCATTGCTTGGCCAATGTGCTCTCTGTGAAAGCCTGAGAGAATGTTTTCTCTCCATGTGACTCTCCTTAGGCACACTCTACATCATTGATCACTTTCCTCTTTGGCCCCATAATCTCCTTGATCAGAAAATTTGGGACACTACTGAGGTACATGACGTTACAGTACAAGTTCTCATATGTCCTGTGTCTTAATTGACCTTAGAAGGTTAGGGCCAAAATGTTGGCTTTCCTAGCAGCCCTCCTTTTTCTCCAATTTTGGTCTGCAAACTTAGGTTGTCAACCCTCCAGAAGACAAACTTATAGTTATTATCAAACAACTTGGGCTGTTAAGCTTAACCTCACTATCTGTCTGCATATCAAACATCTTAGTCATAATATGGAACAGGTATTTTTCATCAAGTATTGATATGTTGAACTTTAAGTCCCTACAGAATGTGATAAAAAACCATTTAAAAATTAGAATATATTTTAAAAATAGGCATAAAGAATTATATACTTCTCATGTTTGCACATAAGTCCAAGAATCTCACCATATACAACCTTGAAGCAGGACAGTCCCATTGCCTTTGATATTTCTTTTCCTTATTTTTTTCCTGTATTTAAGACAGCATCTACAGGATCTGCAGGGTCTCATTACATAGATCAGACTTGTGATATTTCTTTATAATAATGAACAATGGGCTAATATAGCCTCCAAATGGATAAATATGCAATAGAATTCTGTTACAAGTGACAACAATCCGTCTTAATCTAGATGAAGAGATGAAGTCGTAGTTGAAGCGCTTGAAGGTATAGCTTGATGACTTCAGGCATGGCTGATCCAGCTCATGTCCTTCTCTAGCTTCCGGTTGTCTCTGTGTTGGCATTATTCACAGGTATGCCCTTTACATGACAGAGAAGATGGCTGTCAGCAGCCTCGGGTTTATATCTTTAATTTTTTGGTCCATAAGAAAGAAAAAAGCCCTTTCATTCATTCATACATTTCAGGAACAATTCTGTTGGGCTTTGTTTCAATCTTACTCTCAACCTTGAGCCAGTCACTGTGACAGGCATGGGTTCCGTGATCACTTTGTGTGACAGGGAGCAGGCAGTAAGGCCTGGCGATGACAGCACCTAGTACCCTAGCGACAAGGTCATGTGAGGATGCATGGGGCTATAGCAAAGGAAGCCAAGGTGCTACTGGCAGAAGAATGATAAACTGAAGGTAAAATCCACAAATATCCGCCTTAGGGCGCATTCATCCCACTTTGCGCACCTTAGTTAACTTCATGGAGGTGTCCCTCCCAAAGTGCGCAGGACAGATTATCAACTATATAGTAAGCAGCACTGCTGCTGCTGAAAGATGCATCGTAAGCGCCAGAGGATGCCAGAGTGGATCCCTGTAATGGACCTGTTTCTTGTGGGGACCCTGGAAACTGGCCCCAGGAAGCTGTTTCTGTAGGGCGTCGGTCTCCTAAGCTAGGGCGTCACCCAAGGCATAATCATGCAGGGTTGAGAAACCACAACTCCTGGGTGCTGTGTGGACTGAGGGCCCAAAGCACTGCTGACACCCACAGGCTGGGCTCATGTCCCGTGTCAGGGTGATACATACTTAGTTGAATCTAAAGATTCTCTTATGGGCACTGAAGTCCCTTTTGTAACTTAGTAGCATCTGCAGTTGTTGAAAGTAGCTTCATAGTTAAAGGTGACAGAAACCCAACTCAAACTGGGTTTTTTGATTTTCCTTTTGTAGGGCTGAGGATTGAACCCCGGGCTTTGTACACCCCAGGCAAGTGCTATACCACTGAGTGCAATCCCTGGGCCTTTTAAAATTCTATTTTGACACAACTTTTGCTTAGTTGCCCAGGCTGGTCTTGAACTTGTGATCTTTCTGCCACAACCTCAGGAGTAGCTGGAGTTACAAGCATACACCACCTCTCCTAGCCCAACCCAAGCTACTGATATTCTAAGAAAAAACACAAGGGCTTGATTGGCATTCTCAGCCCAGGTGTGAATTGTTCCAAGTGTGTGTCTCCACCCAGGGACTCAAGTGATAGATAGCATCAGGGCTCTTTGCCTTGTCCTACTTTTCAATTCTGCTGTCCACCAGGCAGGCTTCATTCTCAGGCAGGGTCTCTTTATGCAGTTGCAAGGAGGGCTACTGACTGCTTAGCTACCTCCTGAAGAATAAAATAGTATGTGACAGGGAAACATCACTTGAGCAAGTCTGAGTGGCCTGGTGTGGCCTGTATCAACCCCGGAAAAGTCCTGTGGCCAAGGAGGATGCGGTGGAAGGGAAGAGTCTAGGCTTAGGAGCTGTACCGATGGACCAGTGGGGAGGTTGCAGGTGCTGATCTGATACAGTGGGTTGGCAGGCTCTGAAGGCTGCCTTCTACCATTGTGCTGCCCGCCTCCTGTCCACATGCACAGCACCATGCTGAGCCTTGTGCCTTTGTTCTGTGCTAATGGAGCACCAGGCCTTGGTCACCACAGTGTCTGTAAGTATAGCCTGGGAGGCTCTCCTGCCTACTGGACTGTGAGCAGTTTTGGGCAGCATGTTTCTCCTCTACTGCCTTTTCCACTTATCTGACATCCATAAATGTGCTCAACAACTAGAGAATATATGGATGAGTGACTTAGAAAGATGTGTGACCCAGTGTTCTCAGATAGTATATAATTACTGTCTCTTCGTCCTTCTTTCCTGATTTGTTGGCACGAACTTTTATCTGTTGTCATTATTTGCAGATATTTGTAAAACTCAAACACAGTAAGTTTTGGTCTATCGTTTCCAAATGGCATAAGACCAATTAGTGCCTAATTTGCAAGCAACAAGCTGTGGCTATGTCTGTTTCTTCCCTTTGTCCTTTTTTTTAGTGATTTCAGGTGAAGGAGGAAGAGAGTCCAGCCTTTAGCTCTCGGGGGTTAGGAATATAGATCCCATCAGGAGGAGTGTCAGGTCCAGAAATGATGACTTACGTGAACTTTTGGAGCCAGTTTATTTCTTCAGATTCCACACATACATGGTTACACACCCACAGAGGA